AAAAACCACTACGAGGAACTCGTTTTGAGAGTGTGAAGGCAATAAAGCTAAAATCGCTGGAGGCACTAATGGCTATACCAAAAACCGACTTCCAGAAAAGCTTCGAGGGGTGGATCAAACGCTGGCACAAGTGCATCGCAGCCGACGGGGACTACTTTCAAGGGGACAACTTGAATTTTGAAGAATAAACATGTACTTTTCTTTTTATGAATAAATTCCGGTTATTTTTTGATCATGGTAGTAGCTTGAATAAGTATTACTTATGATCCGGGCACGCCAAGTTTTTGTACTTTACTTTTGTTTTAAGCCCGTTTTATGGGACCTATAATCTTGGGTCTAGTACTTGACTAATTGCGTTGTTTGTTTTTTTATATAAAAAAAAATTTTTTAGTACATGATTTGTATTTTTGGTTATTTATTTTTTATGTACTTGGCGTATGTTTCTTTTTTTGTAAAGACTTTTTTTAGAGTGATTTTACTACTTTTTGTTAACGCAATAATAAAAGTATATGTACATTTCATTTGATTTTTTCTGCGAAAAATATATATGCATTTTTAGCATTTCTAGGCCAATTGCATTTTTGTATCTTTTGAATCATGTATTGTTATCCAGTTGTGTTTTTAATACGCACTGTATTTGTATAATATCCAGTATTCAAATTTTCTCTATGATGAAAAATTGCATAATAACTTTATATGCATTGTTTCCAAGATGTATCTTTGTAGCAGGTACACTTTTAACATTGCAAATTGATTTTTGCAGTTTTAGTATTAATAGAGCAATTAAAGTGATTTATATACAAATATATATGTATACTTACACATATACATACATACATACATGTGTATATATATACAGACATACATACATATGATATTTATATACAGACATACATGAGATATTTATTGTTTAATGTGTCTATATAAAAACGTGTATATATTTGTGTATGTATGTCTGCTTGTGTATGTTTTGTGTATCTACTTGTGAATGGCTAAAATGTCATCGATAATTATTACATTTTTTCTTTTTTCTCGTATAATTTTAAGAACTATATCAGAAAGCTGTCTATATTTGGCAGTATGGCCGTGCACGACTGGTACAAGCAGTATCCAAGTTCCAATATATGAACGCGCTGATTTTGACTTGAACGCGTTTGCGAGCGAGAGCACGGCTGTGAACGCGGCTTGAATAACGCTCACGCTTTGAATGCGTATGTGTGAATCTGTGAGACTTACGAATCTTTGTGACAGACTCTTGTATTTTGATACGTAAAATTTTTAATCTCCGAATTAACAGAACCAATTTAATTCGCACTTCTCGCAATCGAAAGCTCGTAATGACATTTATTAAAACAAGTACGGTTAAATTTTTCATTAGTGATATAATTGCGAGATATTTTGTATCAAAAATTCATCGAGAAAAAACTCAAGATAAAGTACACGTCAAGTAGCGTCTTGACAGTGACACTCATTCGGCGGATACTTTTATGTACTTGGCGTCGAGACGCTAACGCGGTTTTTGATAATCTTACCAAACTACATAATTATTACTTAAGATTGGTTATTAATAATCGCACGGAAAAAAGTTAAATCGTAGTCTTACTATAGACATAATTATGTTGTTGTATATTGTTTTTCAAAACAGCACAAAGTTGTACACTAGTTGCGTTCAGAAAGCGCACTATCTGTTTTATTTTATCGCTCTATCTTTATTTCTCCTTATATAGAAAACAAAGATAAATGACATAATAGCACTAATAGCACGCTTCTCGAACGCCACTGTGTTACACAATGTCGCCTATGTACGTAGGTATGAAAGCACTCTATGCCTCGAGCGCACATGTAAACGCTGGTTTAGCTGTGTGCGTATCCCTTCTACCGAGACATCCCTGAATCAAATAATCAAACAATTATTGTGAGTATGAAGTGTTACGCACAACGAAGTCGCGACGAGATCCATCAAAAAAGAAGAATCAGCACAAGACAGCCGTAAGTAAATTACCATACATATAAGAACAAATGAGAGAGTAAGAATCGTACGTGTGAGCCAAATTGTTTGTGGATGAGCAAAAAAACAGCAATGCAGGTAATATCTACAAGTACAATATTATCTTAACTGATTATTGTTCTGCATGTTATCTTGGTTCATAAGCACCATACACGTACATACATACAACTTGTCACTTGCTTTTTTACTCTCACATATGATCAAATACAAGGTTATTACAATAATTAATTACTCTACTTACAATGTATTCATATACGAGTACGTGTGTATTACATAACATATATGTATATTACATAACATATATGTCTCTTCATATCTTTCTCTCTCTCTCTCTCTTTCTTTCTTTATCTCTCTCTCTTTCTCTCTCTCTCTCTCTCTCTCTTTACACACACACACATACACACACACACACGTATATCTAATCTAAGTTCATATTCAAAATCACGCGAAGGTCATAATATTACAAGTCGTGAGACTTGTTTTGTAAATTACTAATAAATTACTAATTACTAATAAATTACTAATTAGTTGTTATTCGTCTTTCGACTAATAAAAATAGGTTTTTGAAAGTTATAACTGTTTAAAGTTTAGAGTAAAATAAAGAAACATAATATGTTATATANTACGATAAAATGGTGTTATCTTTTTATGCGTAGATACTGATTACAAGTTCGATAAAATTATATATATTTAGATTACCTTTCGCGACATCATTCTACAGTTTTCTTCAAACGAACGAAATCAACTCACTATAACCGCGTGACGAAGCTATCATTTTTTAACTTTTATTCTTTTGGCGAAAAAATAACAAACACAAGCACATAATTTGTGTAAATTTTATTGTGCTTAGGATATTACCAGAGAGAGAGAGAAGCAAAATGATACTTGAAGGATTAGTAACTGCTTTTGTTATTGCTCTGTGTTGTTTATATATTTACTACAAGTTTGTGGTGTTCGATTTCTGGCGCAANAAAGGTGTATTTTTTATTAAACCTGTTGTACCAGTTGGTAATTTGACACCTTTTGTTACTGGAAAAATATCAATAGGCAAGTATTTTTCTTACATACAAGTATCTGATGTGTGTAACCTATTCTTAATCTATAAACTTTGCCAAAAAAGCGTAAACNGTCATTATTACTGTTTTATATATACATATTGTACATATTTGCAANTAGCCCTATTTTTATATAAACAATAAACATTTGGTTATATATACGCTGAGAAAAAAGATACTGTGATAAATCAACAAACTATATTTATAGTTTGCGGTCAATTATTAGTTTTATTTAAAAAACTTACTTTTTTATTCGAATTTATATATAATGATAATGCTTCCTGTGTTACATAAAAGCCTATAAAAAGTGCAATAACAAGACAACTCTCCGAAGTAGATTAACACTTCTGATCGCTGCAAATATACTCCGCTTAATAAATAAGACTTTAATGAATCAGTAATTTTTATTATTTCTTAGTGTATATGTTCACTGAACCTTTATAAAAGAAAACATAAATTATATTATATTATATATATAATTTGTTGTGAAAATTATTAACAGGAGAACTATATCGCGATGTTTACTTGAAATATAAGGACCACAGTGCTATCGGAATGTATACATTTTTCAAACCGACTCTTGTAATTGCCGATCTTGATCTTGTCCGAATGGTGCTGACAAAAGAATTTGGCAGTTTTCACGATCGCGGGTTGTATTTTAACGAGAAAATAGATCCGATGTCCGGTCAATTGTTTTTCTTACCCGGAAAAAAATGGAGAAATCTGCGCGTCAAGTTGACTCCTACTTTTACTTCGGGGAAACTAAGGAAGATGTTTGCAATACTCATAGAATGCGGCAAAGATTTGGCAAAATCTTTGGAAAAAACAGCCAAGTCAAAAGGATATGTTGATATGAAAGAAATGTTTCCAAGGTATAATTAGATTTCAAAAACAAAGAAAACGTTTATAAATTTGTAATTATCTTAATCTAGTCGCTCTTCTTAATTAAACAGTAATAAAATTATACACTCAATCTTGCATGATAGGTATTCAACAGACATAATTATGTCAGCAGCTTTTGGAATCAAATCCAACTGCATAGAAGAACCAAATAATGAATTTCAATACTGGGCAAAAAAAGCCTTTCAAATAAGTAACTTCAAGAATGCCATTTTTATGTTTGCANCTCCAATTGCCAANNTATTTTCNATCCNTATNTTTGATNANGGTACTACTAACTTTTTTTTAAATNTNTTTCGAGATAATGTGAANTACAGACAAACTCACAATATCGTCAGGCACGATTTTATGAGTCTACTTATACAACTTATGGAGAACGGTTATGTCGAGCCTGACGAAGAGAAANATGNNACNGANNAGAATGATGTANCTGGTAAGTATAATNTAACGTTNAATATTAAACATACAACTGTTACGCGGCTATTAAATAAAATGATGTTTCGTTTTAGTGACAGCGACTACGAGTAAAATTTCTATGTTGGAAGCAGCTGCGCAAGCTTTTCTCTTCTACTTAGCTAGCTACGAAACTTCCTCAACTACGGCAACCTACTGTTTGTACGAATTAGCCATAAATCAGAACATACAAGATAAGCTCCGACAAGAAATCGATCAATTACTGAAAGAACACGGAGAAGTGACTTACAATGCAGTAAATGATATGACTTATCTGCATAAAGTAGTAAATGGTAAGTTTGTTTGTTNTTNTTGTAAAAATATGANTTCTCTCTTTGTAAACAAACATGTTTGNCAGTAATNAAAAACTACAGATTTAATAGTANNTTACGTGTTGTGCAGAAACTCTGAGGAAATATCCGCCTGTACCGATGCTGAATCGTATTTGTACCAAAAACATAACTCTACCAACGAACATTCACATACCGGAAGGAACTTTAATTACCATACCAGTACTTGGCATACATTATGATCCGGCGATATATCCGGAACCGGATAAGTTTGATCCCGAACGATTCAACACGGATCAAATAACGGCCAGGCATCCATACGCTCATTTGCCATTTGGAGAAGGACCGCGAGCTTGTATCGGTAAGGATTAGCATGATCGAGGAATATATCTAAAAATGTCTTTACATTATTTGTATTTTTCAAACTTGTGAAATTATATAATAGAACTTTAGTAACTTCGAGAGGGAGGGGGATCGCAATTTTAACTTCTACGGTATAGCAGAGCACTAATTTTTCTAATTTCTAACTGCGCGTTTATCTCTAAAAGCCTCAAACAAAAAGATACATTCTTTTGTTTTGCTACCAGTTCGGCGTTAACTCTAAATAGGAGAAATAATTTCGAATTCTAGACAGAATCAGTCAACATGCGTTTAAACTTAGTTACTGAGCGTTTTACTATATGTAAACAACATAACTAAAAAATATAAAAATTGTTCGTAAAAATAAAGAAAATTTAGACAAATCTACGTTACTTATTATTTTTCAGGTACACGACTCGGCTATATGATGGTGAAAATTGGAATCTTAAATATATTATCAAATTTTAAAATAAAACTTCATCCCAAAACTCCGGTGCCACCGATCTTTGACAAAGATCTTACAGTACTTACTCCCAAAGGCGGTGTACCTCTTATAATTGAACCGCTATAAAACATCTTGCGCTCTCTACAGCCGCATTTAAACTACGTACGTCAATTGTGTAACAAATAATTACAATCAAAGAAAAGACATATAGCTCTAATGGTTATATGTAAACGATATAGCTCTAAGGGTTCCTGGTGACATGTTTGACTTAGTTCTTTATCTTTGTAATTCCTACCATCCTCGTTTTCAATTCACCATAGAGGTTGGTTATAACAAACTGAATTTTCTGGACGTCACTATAATTAAGAGAAATAATTTTTTAATACATGATTAGTATCATAAACTGTCCTTTTTTGGCAGATACCTTAATTTCTATTCCAACCATCCAATTAACCAGAAAAAAGGCACAGTGATAGGTCTTATCAATAGAGCCTTCTTTTTATCTCTCATCCTGACTTTCATAATAAAAACTTTGACCACATAATTAACATACTCCTTGACAATAATTACCCTCTTGACTTTATTTATAATATTTGTAAACAAAGACTAAAATATAATTTTTTAAAGTATAATGACTTAAAGACCTTCTTGACTAATAACATCCTTGACGAAAAACTTCCTCGTTGGTTTGTGATGCCTTATGTATATAATTTCTCTGAAAAATTTTCGTCAATCTTTTTCAAAGAGACTGACACACATCTTGCTTTCTACAGTCTTAATAAATTGTCCAGGTTCATTAAAGAACAAAAGGATCCTTTACCTTCTCTTGCTTGTTCTTTTGTTGTTTATAAAATTAACTGCAATGATTGTGAGGCTTCCTATGTAGACCAGACTGGTAGAGTTTTGCAGTCCAGAATCAATGAACACAAAAATCACATTAAACATAACACTACACAAACCTCTGTTATCACGGATCATAGAATTAATTATTCCCACGATTTCTCGTGGGAAAATGTCAAAATTCTAGATTGTGTAAAACACTATCATAAGCGACTAATTTCTGAATCACTATACATTAAGAAACAAACACACGGTCTCAATTTGAACAGTGACACGGAGAATTTAGACAAATCATATTTACCATTTGTCGTTAATACAGCTTAAACTTTCCATTGCGCATGCTTCGACCTCTGAATTCACTGTTCATCTTGATGTATTTTTCAAATTTTCAATCAGTACTAATTGACAGCTCACGTGTTAACATGTATCCATCTCGTTACACGACGACTTTAATAACAGCATATTACTGTAAGTTTACATATTAATTTTACAATGCGTATTTTGTATTTAAAAATTTTTTGGTCTTTGAAATCTATTGTTTTTATATTCAATTTGTAGAAAGATTTGATAAAGACCTAAACCGATAGTCGAAACGTTATCACATTATACGTACACATTACATCTTGAAATAAAAATCATCTTCACGTGTTTGCACAACATCCGTGTTTTTGCTTCAACTGCCTCTCATCTTGTTTTTTAAAATCTTTGGAGCTATTTGTCTTTTCTTTAATTGACAAATTATTAGTTAAAAGTATGCAAACTACAATATTTACAGACAAATATAACATACGTGTATCTTGTTTTGCTATGCACTAAGAATAATAGATGTTATTCAACTAGAAACGCCAAAAAAAACGTTAGTTAAGAAGAAAAATACTGAATTAAACACTTCTGCCTTAAACAAAATCACTGTGTAATAAAAGAAGCAAACGTAAATAGTCCACATGATTAATTCATAGCAAAAACTTAAATATTGCTTTTTTTAGTTGTAAACATCTTTACCAAAAATTGAGCAAAACAGAAACAGAGGGTGTACATCTTGATCTATGGCAATTGTCATTGTTACCACTTTCTCTCAGTTCCTACCGTAAACTGATATTGTATGTTTCAACTTAAACTGACAACGTAGAACCTATTTCTTAAAAGGCTAAACTAACAGTTGGAATAATGCTTTGACGCATTATGCATCACTTAATTTTACCGCAAATATACACAATAACACAGTCGATATTGCTGGACAGTATTAGAGCCGATGATAATGAAAAGTGCGACTTTTTGCTTATAAAGCCATTAGAGAAAATATAATATAAAGTCGACATAAAAACTACATCAATATAGCATGACTGGAATACGACAACATACTGTCAGAACAGCAATAATCTACGATTAGTATATATTTTTACATATGTGTCCCATTCTTACAACAAGAATAAAAGAAGTATATACCTCAAAACGTACGAAAGTAGTAGTAAAGAAAACGAATACAAAAATTTTTAAAAAGTGGTTTTTTACTTATTGAAAACACATTCTCGCATTTATTTTAGAAGATGTGTTTACTACAAAAGTGTCCACTTGCATCAATAGAAAAACAATAGTAAAAACCTAGACAGCAAACTGAAAGCAAATGTTACATAAATGCTATTTTCTACTGTTATTGAGAATTGAAAGAAAAAGAGAGTGAAAGAAAAAAGAAACCACATTTCTTGATTTTGTTTCATTGAGATAAATATTATTAAAAACTAACTGAACGGACAAACTTATATCCAAAATAAAATAAGTTCAATCCGCAAATAAACTTCAGTGGATGAAGCGATATTTGCAGACCAAACTGATAAATCTGTATTAAAACGCATATTGTGTTATATACAAATCTAAAGATATTCAAGAAAATTTATATAAAAAAATGGTGTGCTTAATTTATATTACCTTATCATACGCATCTGCAAAACGAATAAGATTGGTCAATTTATGAATTACGATTTTGGTTCTTTCCGCCTAAAAGCAAGTTAGGTTTTAGAAAGAAATCTTTTTATAATATTGTTTCATATGATACAAAGTTATATTACCTTGGCACTAACACTTTCACAGATATGATTTACCATTAAAAGTCTAATTAAATATAAGGTGATCCATAAAGTGCTGGTAATAATAAAGTATCATTTTATTAATCCGTTCTCGTGGCGCAAACATAACAGTACATGACATATAATATACGCAAATCCCGTAAACGTAACAAAATAAGATGCCATCTGTACTGTCATTCGCATTCCGTATAAAGCATTAATATTGCGAGCCACATAGCAAAGTTCCAAATGAAGATGCCTACAGAAAAAAGAAACATTTTACATAAATATTTTTATACATGTATGTCCATTTATATAAGACAGTAGAAAGGACTGTGTTTTATGTTTTATATGCATTTTTGTCTTTTATTTGAAAATATTTGAAAGATTTATGTTATTAAATATCTAAGTATCGATTATCATTCTCTACAGTATGTAAATTACAAAAATATTACTTAAATATACAATCAATACAAAATTATTAGAAATGTATGCAAAACTTTGTAGAAATAAAAGTATAAATTATAGTATTTTGTACAACCGAGAGTATAAATTATTAAGTAATGAGAACACTATTTTTAAGTGATAAAATCGGTATTCACAAATAATTTTGTTACTTTTTTTATATCTGTTACTTAAACATATAATGATAATTTACATTGCAATCCACAACATACGCTTGCGGTACTCTGTCGGATATAGTGACGATTGACAATAAAAGATTTTTTTCACATATTTCTCAGGTCATAGTTTTCAATCTTTGACAGTTGTATTATATGGTCAATTATTTTATCCAATCTAGTACCAATACACCCGTAATATTAAAATAAAAATTTATACACTTCCGATTTTTATGCTGTTATATGACAAACAAATAAACAGATACTAATTTCGGTTAATATAGTTGAAATTCTATGTGTTGAAAACGAGACGCAGTTTGTTTTTTACACGTACAAACTGCAAAATTTTTTATATAAAATAACTATTATTATCTGATGCCAAAAGCAGTAAATTTAGTCGATAAAACTCATCGAGTTTACGATCCCCTTAAAGCACAAATATAACTAAATGAAAAATTATACATTACATTTGTAAAAAGTTATTTATTCTTTTTGCAAAAATATGTAAAACATCAACAAAATCGTAAACTAAGATATTTTATCAGATCTATAATACTATACGTATGAGTGTAATATTAAAACAATAATAATATTTATACTATACTTTGAATTTGTAAAAAGTGGTAAATAGATATCATCCACAGAAACACATTGAATCTCATTATAAATGAATTTAAAACTTGAAAAAGTGAATTAAACTGCATTGTACTTATCAGTCTATTGTATAAACACCAAGCATACACACTCCACACTAAAACAATATAAACAATACTTAAACATCGTCTGGGATAACTTTTCGGATGTTTGTAAATCTCACAAACCCATGAAGAAAGCCATTATAAAATAAAGAAACATAACTCTTTCCATAGTGTATTCCATGATCGCAACACTGGCAAGTCGGTATGTTAACTACTAGGTCTTACCTTGTTAGTCGATGAATGTGTTGTCATATATTTATCACATTCATCACGGTGATGGCACCAGGGACTTAATACCGGTATGATTTCAATACCGGTATTATACTAGAGGTTGTATACCGAAACTGATATAGTACCGAAATTGAGTCTTACCGTTACCGTTATAGTACCGAAACTGATATGTACCGAAAACCGTAATGAAATACCGGTATTATTTCGGTATTCCTACCCAGCAAACAATTTCTGACTGCGCAGAACTGGCAACAGAAACTGTGTGCAGAAACGTTACAATACGGAAACATGCTTTGTGTGCTGCCAAAGCTGTTAACACACAGACACAAAAAACGCAACATGGTCGTCAAAATTCACCAAAACCATATCCTACTGAGGACATAGATGGATATGGATTTGGTGTGACGGTTGGCGACAAAATCGCGACATCTGACAACCAAATTGTTTGCTGGGTACTAATGGTATTCTTAAAAATTAGATAGGTTAATTAAAGCAATTTTTGTTGCATAATTAATCTTTCTACCGCTTATTGAACTTATA